AAAACAAATATTTGTAAAATATTTTTTAGTAGAACTGAGGACGAATCACTGCAAACTGATTATTATTCAGAGCTCATTTGTGAATGATCTGCTCCTTAGAACAGTGTCATAATTCAGAAGTAAAAGCTTTTTCTTTTTTGTATTTGGGAAGTTAAGTCATTTTATTTATCTTTATTGTTGAAAGTATTACAGATGTCCCCCCGTTTTTTCCCCATTGACCCCCTCCCCTCCCCCCTCCCCGGCAGGCCTTCACCACACTATTGTCTGTGTCCATGGGTTATGCATATATGTATACAACTTTTTGGTTACTCTCTTCTCATCCCCGACTTCCCTGCCTTCCCTCTGAGATTCATCAGTCTGTTCCATGCTTCTATGTCTCTGGATCTATTTTGTTCATCAGTTGATTTTGTTCATTAGATTCCGCATATGAGTGAGACCATGTGACACTTGAAGTAAAAGCTTTTACTCAAGAAAATGAACCTACCTCACCTGGAACACCAAAAAGTACAAGGTCACCCTCATACCCAACAGCCTATTGGAAGACAAACCCTAAAGGAACTCACAGAGCGCTCTGGCTCCGCATACCTTATTTTCCCACATGTCCAGGAGGATAATTGTTGCACTTTCGCCATCAACAATCAGCGTTCGCTCGTATGTATCTTCTAAAAGAGAAAGAACAGTGATATCGGTCAGGCAAATAGTAACACTTTTATATTAAAATGATCATGCAAAAAACGATGCTAGAAAATAAATTGACTAAGTATATAATTATGTAAATACCCAGATATTCATTAGGCAGATTATTATCTTTTATCACCTTGAACAGTATTCTACATATATTCCTCCAGTACTTACCAGCAGAACACCTCTGAATATGTATCACTAGACCACTTGCCGTGAAAGGCACTCATTTGCATCATTCCTGGATCTTTTCTTTTCTTTTCTTTTTTTAATATATTTTATTGATCTTTCACAGAGAGGAAGGGAGAGAGACAGAGAGTTAGAAACATCGATGAGAGAGAAACATTGATCAGCTGCCTCCTGCACATCTCCCACTGGGGATGTGCCCGCAACCCAGGTACATGCCCTTGACTGGAATCGAACCTGGGACCTCTCAGTCAGTCCGCAGGCCGAAGCTCTATCCACTGAGCCAAACCGGTCTTGGCCCTGGATCTTTTCTATAGGAAAGCCCTGATGTACAAACTCACTTTAGAGCAGTGGTTCTCAACCTTCCTCATGCCACAACCCTTTAATACAGTTCCTCATGTTGTGGTGACCCCCCCCAATTTCATTGTTACAAATTGAACACAATTAAAGCATAGTGATTAATCACAAAGCAGTATAATTATATATGTGTTTTCCGATGGTCTTAGGCGACTCCTGTGAAAGGGTCGTTTGACCCCCAAAGGGGTCGCGACCCACAGGTTGAGAACCGCTGCTTTAGAGCTTTTGACTCAGATTCAAGCTCCGATGCCATGAGAAAACACTAACTGTGCCCCATGGAACTATCAGCCTCATTCATAAGCCTTAAAACTCACTATGCCCTTCAGTGGGCTGACTACTGGGCATTCACTGGCAATTTCAGGAACTTTGAGCTCAGAAACTTTTCTCCTTTTTTGAGACATGCAGGGGAAAAATCTTGAGACTGTCCGTTTTCTTCCTTAAAAAAATACATTTCCCTCGGAATAAGCAGGCAGCAGCCTCCAGCTCTACTTGATAATGGAAACTTTCCTCCCTGCACTTGAGCTCAGATTGAATGTAGATGAAGGGTGAACCAGTGTAATAGGCCAGAGCAGCTCCATCCCAGGAAAACCACCGGGGCAGGGAATTTACTGAGTTTACTGCAATTTTTGCAAATAAGATTCCTATCATCTCCATAAGTGAGCCCATCCCACTCTATTTTTCACATTCGTCATTTAAAACGTATAATTTTTATAATTTTTTCTTTTACCATTTTCCTTGCTGTTCCTTTTGCCTGGACTCTGTTCCCTCAAATATCCAAAAGACTTGTTCCCTTACCTCCTTCTGGGTGAGGCGTTCCCTGACCATCTATTTAGACACCTCTTCTCTACTAACATCCCTTCCTCCCGTTCTATTTTTCTTCATTGTGCTTATCTCCATCTAACATGCAATCCCTTTAACTAACTTATTTTATCACTTTATGTCTCTCGCCTCTTGAATGTGAAGACATGGATTTACATCTGTGCTGTTTACTGCTCTAACCCCCAGCACCCAGGACAGTGCCTGGAATGTTGCGAGTGCTCAGTAAATACTTATTAATTGAATGAATGAACCATAAAAATAGCCACCGTCATCCACCAGCCTTCACAAAGAAAGAAAAGCAATGGTACCGTTCTGACCCTCTCTCTCCCTTGACTCTTATTTAGCTATCATCTCTGAGAGCCCCACATGAGAAGAGAAATCGATGTTCTAATGAGTCATCATTGATAGCCCCGAACGGGAACTTGCCTTAAGACGCAGTGAGTTCCCTGACACTGGAATAAACATTTCATGGACGTGGGCAGACAGTACTAAGGATGCAGCAAGATTCCTATGCAACAGGTGCAGGGCAGCACTGAGCCATCACTAGAGCATCTTCTGCTCTGTGGAGTCCGTGATTCATCTGTGACTCGCAACTGAAGGTACAGACAGACCATGCCACTTGGGCAAGCACTGGAAGGTTCTCTCTTCATCTCTACAGCTGCGAATGGGGACATGCAGCCACCCTGGCCGGGTATGCTGAGACGGAAACCATGGCTGAAAGACACTGTATGAATACCATGGACAGTGAGGATCTTCCCATCACCTCCCAGAATGTAGCGCTATGCTTTGCACATACCTGAGGCACCCATCTATACTTTGGAGACTATGTCACCTCAAATCGGTTTTGGAAACAGGCCTGACTTCAATAATAAATATCTTGCCGAAACCGGTTTGGCTCAGTGGATAGAGCGTTGGCCTGTGGACTGAAAGGTCCCAGGTTCGATTCCGGTCAAGGGTATGTACCTTGGTTGCGGGCACATCCCCAGTGGGGAGTGTGCAGGAGGCAGCTGGTCGATGTTTCTCTCTCATCGATGTTTCTAACTCTCTATCTCTCTCCTTTCCTCTCTGTAAAAACTCAATAAAATATATTTTTAAAAAATAATAATAATAAATATCTTAAATGAGATCGTGCAGGGAAACTGTCTTGAAAAAAAAACGGTAAGACTTGATACAAACATATGTATCATTATTGCTATAATTCAAAAACTTTTTTAAAGAGATTGCACTACTTCAAATACAAATTTTAAACGATTTTACACCCTCAAACAAACGCTAATATTGGTGGAAATAAAGTGATGGCTCGGTTTCTCAAATCGTCTTGGTTTTAGGAATAGCCATGGAGAAAAGCCGTCGCTACAATGAACTCTTGAAAAGTCCAGGGCAGAGTTGGCAAGAGCCAGAGGTGGGCGCCCGACCCTCTAGCTCTGTCCTGATGAATCAGTGTCCCCCAACTCCACCCCGCTCAGCCCCGTTAGAGCTGGGACCTAAGAAACCCCCTCCCGGCCCAGGGTTTTATCTAGAAGCATTTTCATCTCATTGTCCCACCGGCCGGTGCCAACAGGCCAGGGCTTTTCGGTGCCAAGAATGCGTGCGTAACTGCGGCGCTCAGCTCTGTGGATAAACGGCCCGCCCGCGGGCTCCTGCTGTAAGGCCTTGAGAAGAGAGAGGGTGGGACCAGGGCACAAAGGAGGGTCAGCAAGGACTTCTAACCATGGGAGTATTAGGGGGTGGACCCACCTTTAGGGACAAAAGCAAGCAAAGGACACCGGCGCAGGGTGACATGGTTCAGAGTCATCGCTGGGTCCTGGGGAGCAAAGCGGCCGGCGTGTCAGCGGCGGTGAGAGTGGGGAGCACCGAGCGGGAACGCGGGGGTCACACACACAGCCCGCCACCAGACCCACGGAGTCCTCACCTAAGGGACGTCAATGAAACAGCCCCAAGCGCAACAGGCTTTCTCAACTGCGCGCGCGCACACACACACACACACACACACACACACACACACACACACAATTAGCCACCAGCCCCTTGGCCAGGTTGTCATTTGCAAAGAGGAAAAAAGTACCGTTAGCATCGCCCAGCGCCCCGGATCTCCCTCCATCCTCAGGGAACCCGTGGGACACCCCCGCCCCCCTACTCGGGGCTGGCACAGAGTCAGCCAGAAGGGAGTTAACGGCGCGGGGGCCCGGGGGCCGGGGGAGCTGCTCCAGTCTGGTCACGGCTCTTGATGGCACTGGCGCCCCGCGGGCCCGTGCGCCTGGGGGCGGGGAGACACGTGGCAATGACGTCACTCCTCCCGGGCGGACAGCACCGCACTGATTGGAACTTCCATGTTTAGTCAAGTTGCCCCGACGCTCCCCGGCTGCCTGAATCAGCCGTTATCTGGGGGGAGGGGGCCATGAATCTGTTGGAGGTCAATGCCTCCGCTCTGCCCTCTCGCCCGCGGGCACCACGTTTGAACGCCCCCGCCCCGAGCCTGGCCGTCCGGGCAGGGACAGGACCCGCTCCGTTCAGACCCCTTCAAAGTTGCAGAGAAAACCCTAATTCTCATCCGACGAGGCCCGCTCCCAGGGTCCTTTCATGCAACTCAGATGCCCAGCTAATCGAAGCAAACAGAAGGTCAGAGGCTCTCCCTGCTCAAAGGGCATGCAACGACTTGGCAACGGCGTCCCCTTGGCCAGACCCCTCCCCCTGGCACGGAGGCCTGTCCTGCAGGCTGCCCGCGAAATAATAAAATATCAGAGAGCAGAAGCTTTCTCATCTTCATATGAGAGACCCACTCGTGAAAATACGAAGAGCACAGACATTCCCCTTTCCACGTCGCCCCACACTCCGCACCCCAACACGCCGGCCACCGCCCAGGACGCCTGCTCGGCGGCTCCCCCACCCCACCCCGCTCCCCCGTGGACATCCCAACAGAAGCCAGAGGTGTCCCCGACGGCTGCCCTCCGCCCGCTGGGTCTGCAGGAGGGGGACCTCCCCCTGGACGGGACCGAAGAACCTGCCGGAACGGCTCCCCGTGCACCTTGCAGTCGCCTCCACCCGGAGCGCCAACCGCGGCTTCCAGGGCTCCGCTCTCAACTTAGACAGTTTCGGGGTCTGGGAAGCCCACCCCCTCCCCAGTCACTCCCTGGGGGAGCCCCCTTCCCCGGAGAGGAGCCCCTTACCTGGCCTTGCCACGTGGGCATCCACGCACCGGTGCGCGCCACGATCGCGGCCGCGCGGGGCTTTTCCGTGACGTCACGCCCCCGCGGGAGGGGCGGCTCTGCGGCGAGCTCGGGGTTGCAGCCTCTCCCCTCCATCAGTGACTCGCAGTCATGTGACCTCTCTCCCCCTTTTAAAAAATAACGACGGTTGGATCCCGAGCTGTTTCATTTTGTTTTCTTTTACCTGGTGGACGCAGGGAGACAGAAATACACTGAGGGCCACTTCATCAAGCTTCGCGGCCAAAAAAAAGAAAAGAAAGCATTTGCAAACGGTCGGGAAAAGGATGGAGGAGGCGGCAGGTTTGAGTTGAGAGCCCAGCTTTGCTCAAACACAAAACCAGGGGCCAGCCAGGCGCACGGAGACACCAGCTTCCAGCCTGGGCTGCAGCCCCTGGAGCGGCAGGGCGGTGTCCGGGGCAAAACCCGCCCGTGCCCGCCCGGCACCTGCTCGGCCCAAGTGGGGGCAAAGGGAGCCTGCACGACTGTTTATTTCCCTTCTCGGACAGGGATCCAGAGAGAAGGAACCAGAGGTGAGGGCAGGGGACAAGACCTTGAAAGGGGCAGCTCTGAGAGATAACTTAGTTAGGCTCCATCCGTTTGCGCTAAATGCCCGCCTCCTGCTCTGGGTCAGGATGCTGAGCTCCAAGCAGGGAATTTAATCAGAGCCGGAATCAGCAACATTGTGCCAGGAGCCTGGGCCCGGGTCTGGAGCCAGTCCATGCCTCCCAGCCATGGGGAGGAGCCTAAGCTAGACACTGGGGTCCACTGTCCTGCCCCCCCCCCATCCTGTGCATAAAGGACAAAGGCTAATCACCACCACCACCATTTACTAAGTCCCTCTGAGTACCTGTCATCTGTCGGTACTTTAGCCTCTGCAGTACCTCAATCCTTACCCAGTTCCACACGATGGAGGTATTGCTACCCCCATGCTGTGGAGGGGAAATGACCCAGCCAGAGATCCCACCCAAGGTCACACGGCTCATGCAAGTGGCGGAGTCGGGATCCAAAACCTGGTTTGCCTGACTCTTTGCTCTGCACCACCGGCTGAAGGCTGTCAGTGACCTTTTTCTGGGGACACAGGCGCCTCCCAGATGCTGGGTTTGGTGATGGCCATGGCCGTTCCAACACTCCCACCCTCTTTTCCAGCCAGCTTTATCTCCGTGTTGGCTGGTGGCTCCAGGAGGCAGCCAAGGCACCAGTATCTATGCTAGTGGCCAGACGGCTGTGAGTAGAGTCCATTTTGTGATGCTGCAGTCAGTTCCCTGCGTTGGGGATGGTCCACGTCACAGCTGCTGAGGGCTGCCAGGTGGTCCCACACGGGCCAAGGTGGGAGCCCCAGATTTCAGAGCTCCTGTAGTTCCAGGCGCCCTGATCCCAACCTCCTGCTTCTTTTATACACAAGGAAGCTGAGACCCAGAGGGATGCCCTCCGCTGAGTGAGGAGATGGCAGGGCTGGAACTAGAGCGTGGCTATCATCATTTCCTGGATGGTGCCCTGCACTTCAATCAAGTTTTTCTTCCGGCCTTAGCCAGAAAGAAATGGCAAGAGATGTGGGGAAAGGAGAGGGGGAAAGGGAGGTTAAGGAGAGAGAGAGAGCACCAGGCAGTGTACTGCTGACTCCATGCTAAAACACAAGAAAAGTAACTTGTGAATTCCCTTTATCTGCATTTCAGAATTATCCATGCTTTTTTTCCATGCTGAGCCTCCTACTTTGCTGACTGGTCTCAAAAGAAACATTATATGGGTAAAATTAAGAATAAATCTGAGTTTATAAGAATATCAAATAACCTTTCAATTCTACTCTTGCCCATTGATAAGAACCTAATTCTTCACACTAATAAAAACCAAATTCTATGCATAGGCAATAACCACTATGAACTATTTTTCATTGCTATATGTGAGGCACACAAAGAAAACAAACTCTATAAAGATTGGGGAGAAAGTGAGCATTCAGTCCAGCATGGATTGGGGCAATACGGCCTCATTGTGTTTGAATTTTTAAACATCTGCTTTCTTAAGTTTTCTGTTCCACAAGAAGCCAAATGAGAGAACAACTACTTAGGAAAAGTTTCAACTGAATAGCAGTTAAATTTTGAGTGAATATTTACATCAAAATCATAGTTTCACCTGGGCAAAAGCATATTTGAGAGCCATATGTTATCCAACAGAGTCCCAGCTACCTTCTCCATGATTCCAGCTCACTGGGACCAGCTGAGGGTATGAAACTGGGGAGGAAAAAAAAAAGTGGGATCAGGTCATTTGGAAAAAGTGGCAAGTTCTTAAGAGGAAAAATTGGCAGAATGCTGTAGTTTCATATTCTATCAACTAAAAGCCTGGTGCACAACATTTATGCACTGGCAGGGGGGTCCCTCAGCCCGGCCTGCACCCTCTTGCAGCCCGGGCCCCCTCGGGGGATGTCCGCCTGCCGGCTTAGGCAGACATCCCCCAAGGGGTCCTTAGCACTGCTGCAGGGGCGAGAGAAGCTCCCCGCCCCCACCGCTGCGCTCACCAGCCATGAGCCCAGCTTCTGGCTGAGCAGCACTCCCCCTGTGTGAGCTCACTGACCACCCAGGAGCAGCTCCTGCATTGAGCATCTGTCCCCTAGTGGTCAGTGCACATCAGAGTGACCGGTCGTTCCGCCATTTGGTCAATTTGCATATTCGACTTTTATTATATAGCATTGTTTTGTTCATATTCTTTCTGCAGCATTTTAAGGCTTTCTTGGTTTCTAGCTAACATAAAGAAGGGTATGGCTAGGAGACAAACTCAAAACAACAAAAATACCATTTACTGAACTCTATGCATGCCTTATCTCAGTTCATTCTCATCACCACTGCACTTACCCATGTTTCATAGATAAAGATGCAGGGGAGTGAAGTGAAATAACTTGTCTAAGGTCACGGAGCTAATAGGTAGTACTACTGTGCTCCCCGGGCCACAGTCTATTTAGAGTGGACGATACACTGCAATCTGGTTCCCATGGTAACCCCACTTCAGCCCACTCCCTAACTCCTCTTAAAAGAGAAGTTTTTACTTGATTGGCCAAAGCCCGTGACCTTCATTGGGCCACATTTCATTAATGGGGAAGATTTTTCTACTTAAAGGCACAGTCCATGCTACTGAGCGCGAAAGTGCTTTCTTAACCACAGAGCGCCGTGTAAGTGTGAGTGGTTATGATTATGATGCAGGCGCCAAGGATTGGAGCTTGGCCACCTGCCCTGGGTTTTGCTGCCTGTCACAACTCAAGTGAAATTAATCCAGGAGAATTCAGGACCCATGAAGCAGAGGGAAGAAGGGTGGGGAATATCCTCATATTGCTGTTTGTAAGGAGAAGTAATGAGCAAGGAGAGTGGTAGGTTAAGTTCCTTGTAAACCAACAAGGAGCTGGGGCCAAGTCCTCAGCCCACGGAATAGGTGTCCCCCAGCTACAAAGGTTGATGAGGAGCCGAGTGAGTGGGAGGTCATGTGCAAAGAGTTTGAGCACAAAAAAAACCCACCCACCTCCTCTGGGAATTGTAAAGAGGGAAAGAATTACTATATGGAAAATTATTGCTTTACAGAAAGGGAAGGGGGGAGCTCCAATTGCAAAACCAAAACAGCCCTGATTAAGACAAAACCGAGACTGAAGAAAGGATGGCTAAGAATAACCTCTGAACATCTAGAGGCCTGTGGGATCCAGATGGAGACTTCCTCCAGCTGCAGCCTTCTTTGGGCCAGTCCCAGCTTCTCATCAGACCCCTGCTGAAGAGATTTAATTTTCCATTGAAAGAAGTTTGTAGCTGTCACTCGGCCTCCACTTCCTTAGCTCAGCCTGCTGCAGGCCTTTAGGGAGCCCTTCTGAAATCCTGCAGGGGGCCTGGCTGCCGTGGCTCAGTGGTTGAGTGTCGACCTGTGAATCAGGTCACGGTTTGAGTCCCGGTTCCCGGTCAGGGCACATGCCCGGGTTGCAGGCTTGATCCCCAGTAGGGGGCGTGTAGGAGGCAGCCAATCAATGATTCTCTCTCATCATTGATGTTTCTCTCTCTCTCTCCCTCTCCTTTCCTCTCTGAAATCAATTACAAAAATAAATAAAATGAAATGAAATCCTGCAGGGGAAGTGCAGAATGTATCTCAAAAGGCCCAGGGGAACCTCCTGAAGAAAGCAGACATTCTCTGTCCAGGTCCTCCCATTCCCGCATTCACTACACAACAATAACAATGAGCTTTTGCCTTATGTCCGGACATGTTCTAAGGGTTAGGGCTAAGGTACTTACACTTGTGGAATGTACAGTCTGGTGGGAAAAATAAAGTATCACCATATTCATTCATTCATTCATTCATTCACTCATCATCTGAGTATACTACTCTTTAGCGTAAGTTTTCTCATCTGTGAAAAGGGAATGACACATCTGTGTGAAATGAGAGGATATGTAAAGTAAGGTTTAAGTTCAGACCCATTCAGAAGTCTAACAGTGCCCCAGAAACAGAGCAATTTAAGACCAGGTTCCTGTCCTCAAGGAGAGTAAAGTATGGTGTTCTTTTCACCAGAATCAACCGTTGACATGACGCAGGCATTCCAGGGATCCAGGAACCCAATAGTGCACAGCCCACAGTGGGTTCCTGGCTTTGCACAGGACAAGCCAGCATAGAGTTTAAAGTGAAAGAGAGTTTATCAGTGAAGCAGTAAGCCTTTAAATGTAATAATACTCATAACATGAATGAGAAAAGTATCAACTTACATTTACTGAAATCTTTCCATGTTTCAGGCTCTGTGAATGTGGATTATCTCTTTTAATCCTTACAACTACCCTATGAACTTTAGGCACTATTAAAATTACCATTTTGCAGATGAAGACATTGAAACATAAAAGCTTTAATTTGGCCCTGGTTTGGCTCAGTGGATAGAGCGCCGGCCTGTGGGCTGAAGGGTCCCGGTTTTGATTCCTGGTCCAGGGCATATGGCCAGGTTGTGGGCTTGATTCCCAGTGGGGAACCTGCAGGAGGCAGCTGATCAATGATTCTCTCTCATCATTGAGGTTTCTATCTCTCTCTCCCTCTCCCTTCCTCTCTGAAATCAATTATATATATTTTAAGTTTAATTTGCCCAAGATCCCAATAACTAGAAAGTTATAAAGATTTCAACTCCTATTTCTGATTCCAGGAACATGGACTTCATCCAGTAGGCTATTG